AGTCCTCAAGGTCGAGAAGGGAGTGTTGACACGCTGTGGGGTTGTTAACCAATGTCATAAAAGAATACGTGTACTGACTGTTGAATGAGAAACTATTTGTTCTGTAGACCTTCATCTAAGGTACAATAAAAAAAATTAAAAAAACAAAAATTAACCAAAAGGACTTCATACAAGACATAATCCATTTTTCAATCACAAAAACTTATTAATGTTTCTCATATTATTATACTTTATATCTTACATGTTTCATAGGTGTTTTTTGATTTTTTTTTCTATGCAACAAAGAGTATATTTAAGGAAAAAAATGCATATGGCTTCATACGTCCATCCATCAAAACTTTACAAGCGGTACTAAAACCATGCCGCTTCTAGAACAAGCAACCTACCAAATCAATCCTACTTCCTCAATTAGATTAACTCAAGGAGAGGGCATGGGTATTGGTTGAAGAGAGGGGAAAGAGAAGGAGGAAGAGAGAGCTAGCAATAAAGAGAGTACGTAAGTACTAAATCCAAAATTCACCAAATGCCTGTTAATTTGTAATTTGAAAAATAATTTCCCCAGTAATTAAAATAACATTAAATTGGAAAGTAGTTTCCTAAAGCAAGAATATAATTCATCTGATTTGCTTTTCCTCTCTTTTTATCTAACTAAACCTCATTAACATTTCTGTTTTCAAGTTGTTACACTTTCCATAATCTTTAATACCCACCCCTCAAAATGCATATAAACTTACTTGATCACAGTGCCACAGTGGACTTGCACAACTTCTTTCAGCTACTTTTTTGCCACAGACACATTTCTGTCTGCTAACTCTTGGACACGGCTGACAATTTCCTAAAACCAGAATGATAAATTAGCACAGAAACATTAGAAAAGCAATAAAGATTGCTTTGACTCTTGCTTAAAGTCAAACACCAAACAGGTATAATCTTTCACCTGCATGACAAGGATTTTCACACTTATGCTGTCCACAAAGTAACTTCCGCCCACACTGCAGCTGACAGGACCATTCCTTGGCACTGCACCTACGAGGGATAGGTTTTGCTTTCTTACAGTAACAAGTAGTTGTGACCATCTTTGGACAAGGAGGGCAGGGACCTAGGATCCAATAAAAAGGGGGGAAAAAACAATCAGGAGTCAAAAGTTAAAACTTTTAATTCCCAAACCTATCAGTAATTTCTAAAGCTTTCCTTACTGATACTTTAAAAGGCAATCTCTTTTAATATTTTCTACGGGCAAATTTAACTTCTGAATTCAACTTTCACAATTTTTTCTGGCCTCAGTGTAAGAAGAAATAACCACTCATAATTAAATATGTAATACATAACTCACCTGGATGACAGAGAAGTAAACACTTATGGCCACAAGAAGGTTTAAATTCTCTCTCACATACTTGGCCACATGAATGAGGCACCAGCCATGGGTCTAAAGGTGGATCTTCTACTTTTCCACAATAGCAATAGTACCTATTAGGTGTTTCAGATCGTTTGTATTCAAACCTACATTTTGGACTACAAAGAAGAATGAAATTACTGAAGTTAATTTCATCTTTAAATTAAGTCACTCCCAAGGTTTACCGTTCAGCCAAAGATTAGACAGCCACATAAAACAAAACGAGACTAATGGGGCACAACAGTGCAGGGACAAGGACTAGAAGGCAGGAGGGGACAGGAAAGCTGGTAATAGGGAACCCAAGGTTGAGAAGGGACAGTGTTGACATGTTGTGGGGTTGTTAACCATTGTCATAAAACAGTATGTGTACTAACTGTTTAATGAGAAACTATTTGTTCTGTAAACCTTCATATAAGGTACAACAAAAAAAAAGTTAATTTCATCTTCAAAAGCAACATAAGGGGTAGGAATATAACCATACTTAGTAAGAGTTCAGTTCATGGTAAGGTACACTCTACTCCATATTTATATTAGTAAACAGACAAAATCTTACTAGAATTAATTTCAACCATCAAAAACAGCTCCGTCCGACAGAATTTCCTGAGATGATAGAACTGTTCTATGCCTACATTGTCCAATATAGTAGTCATTAGCCACATATAGCTAGCGAGCACTTGAAATATAGCTAGCAGATGCAGCTGAGAAGGAATATATTTTTTATTTAATTTTCAAAAACTGAAGTAGCCACATGTGGCTAGTTGCTACTATATTAGCACATACCTAGAATATAGCTACAAAAAGAAAGCAATATTAGCTTTCTACTAACTACTTGCACTTTATTCTTGAGGTACTCGTCCTGATTTTTATTCAGCTCAATTTTTTAAGAGTTTGGCACATGGTTCACAAATAAATAAAATACATTAGCAGCAGCAAATAAAAGAGGGCAGTCAGGTCATGGGTAGGCAGCACGGCAGCAAGAAACATGACTTAACGAGGGAGAAAACTTGAAAGTAACCAAAGAATTTCATCATTCTCAACGTCTAATACAAAATATATTTCAATCGTGTCTAAATCAAAGAAAAGCTCAAATACTGTTTCATAGTCTATGCTAAAGCAGAGAGATTTTTAACCGGCCAGATTAAAATAAACATTACTCTTCAGTTCTATCAAAAATTCACTTATAAATCATAGAACACTTCATTCTCAAAAAAATGCTCTAACCTTTACTATTCTCCAGACAAATGTTAGTGTTAGTACATATACGAGAACAACAGTTTCGTATCATCACTTAAATTTCTTTGTACTACTGCTGATAGCTGCCATTTAGTCGGCCCTCGCCTCACGGAGACCCTATACACAACGGGATCAGACCATTGTGATTCACTGGGTTTTCAGTAGCTGATTTTCATTGTCCTGAGAACACGTTCTGTTTCTAAATAAATTCCACAAAAGTATTCAAAATAACCAAAAGATGTGTTTTTATAATTAAAAATCAAGAACAAAATATCAAGTCTCATCTGGAATAAATAATTGGCATTTATGTTGGAAGAGTTAAATTTTCCTTTACCAAAGGAAAACTTTCTACCACTCCTTTTAAGCTAGTGTGGAAGGGGATATATACTTTTAATAAGCTTAGATATGGATGGCTAAAAAGCAACTCACGATACCTCAAAACTGCCTGTCAGCACTGAGACTGAATTGTCCCAGAATACTAGGGGAAGTGAGGGCAAATGTGCAAATGCATGAGCTTTATTTAAAATAATGGCATGCCAACAATGAATGTAATTATGCCATATTTTGTTCATAAACAAACACTATCTTAGGTAGAAACATGTATTTAAAACTTTTTATTTCCACAAAACAACTAACTTGAAACTATTAACATTTTTTATCAAGTTCTAGCTCCATGCTGAGACAATGATTTAACAAAATGAGTTCTCAACCAGAATCACCATTTATTTCATCTCTTAAAAAATGTGGAATATGGAATGCAAAGGATACTACACAATTGATTAAATACTTTGTTCCTTATAGCTTTAAGGAGTATCAGTTCACTCCTCTCTTAACTGGTACTTTCTACCCTATGGCAAAATGACTACTTAAAATACAAGTGAGAAGAGCCAAGAGTGAGAAACATACACCCAAGATTTAAGTGTCTAAAGTTAACGAGCCAGAATATCTGATTTAATTCTATACCTATAAAACACTAAAATTCCCCCATAAAAAAATAACATACAGCATCAAAACAAATAAAACTTTGAAATTTTAAACTGCTTCAGAGAAGCTAACACTCATGGAAAAGAGAAAAAAATATTTATCTCTAAAAGCAATATTGTAAGACAAAACCCATTAGAAGAATAGAAACAGCACTAAATTTCCTTGAAATCCTAAACTTCAAATCCTGGCTCCACCACTTACAAGTAAGAGGATTCTGAACACATTACATAGCTTCAATTATCAATCTCCCCATTGGTCACATGGGAATTAAATCTCTCACAGATTTCCCAGAGCTGTTTTTATAAAGTAACTAGCAAGAGAAAAATGTTTTAAAAAACTATACCACCACAATTTTACAAGCATACTGGTATTTACAGTAATAAGGGGAAGTCAGACACAGATCTAGGTTCTGTGAGGCATGAATCTTACACAATTTGAGGGCCTTCATTAACACAAAATTAAAAACATAAAATTAGGTTCAAAAGTGAATATTAATGTAAATACATAGGGCTCCTGAAGCTTATACCTCATTACCTTGACAGTAAATCTAACCCCTGGGCCAGTATGAATCTTTTCATTGTCTTTATATTTAGCAGAGATATAAAATTTCCATTTTCCCAACTCTTTCTAGAAATATGACAGAAGTTCAAGATCATATAATCATCAACATTATGCCAAACTTATAAAAAAAATGTAGACACATTAATGAAACTGATAATATACACCTGCCATTTTGAGGGATTTCAAGGATAAAATTAGAAAGCCTATGATCAAAATATATTAGATGACAATCTTTTACAATGTGCTACTATTCACAATAGAAACTCCAAAAGAGAACTACCAGAATTATGTAAGATTCTCATCAGTCCTGTAAAAAAGAAATGAAAGTTCTTTAAAAAAAGATAATTAAGGAATTTTTTTCTGCGGAAAAAAATAAAGTCTCAATAACTTATTCATTATTAAGAGGAATTAGTAGTTATACAAATTGGGAAAGGAAAAAAAAAACATTATCAAGGTCTCATTTCATCACAAAACTAAAGGCAGACAGGTTAAAGGATATTGAAACTACCAATAAAACAACTTAACAATCTATAGTTTTCATATATTCTACAACTTAATATTCCTGTTAAATCAGAAAAAGTTACCAAGGCCAGGGATAATCTCTCTTTCCAAAATCATCATCAGTCAAAGGAGAAGATACAAGAAACTGGCTGTCCTTAGCCCACTTCTGGATACAAGGCATGTGAAATATACAGAAACATCCTGAACAGCTCCAAACCTAAGAAAAAGGTGTCAGAAATTAACATGTATGTAATGATTTCTTTAAAATGATGTTACCTTAAATGAGCATCACCTTAAATTATTTTTAAGAGCTATCTAAGAATTAAAGAAAAAACTCTTCCAATATAAGAAATGTTCTTTATAAAAACGTATTTAAATGTAGAACACTTTAATGAAAAAGATGAATAACTCAGATGCATTCGGCTAGAAATAACTACTGCTACTATTCTGAATGGTCACCAAGTATTTTTGTATATATTTCATACTCTTAAAAAATAAGGTTATACTGTATGGACTAATACATAACTTTATAGTCTTTTAACATAGTATGGACTGATACATAACTTTATAATATTTTAACATACTATAAGCATTCACCCTTATCAAATGTACATGATTTTTATAACTGTACAATACAGAATGCAGATTTATGTATACCACAGTTTATTTAACCAATTTCTTATTGTTAGACATTTTTGTTTACAGTTATAAATAACCCTATAATGAAATCTTTAAACACAAATATGTATGTATCTCTATATAGCCCTTTCATTACATAAAACCCATTAGTCTAGTACTCATACTGCTAAGTTCTAAATATCAAGTAAGCTAAAAAGTTGAGAATATACATATATATTATACAATTTAAAAACTTAATAGTAAATTCATAAAATATGCCAACACTTTGATATAACAGACAAAAATCTGTTCTCTTTTCATTATAATATTTTGTAACTGTTTCATAAAATCACTGACATGCAGTATTGGAAACAGCATTAAAAAACAAAGCCAATTTTTTAGTTTGAGCTCCCCACAAAGCAGAGCTTTAGAATATAGCCTGTCAGAGGACAAGAATATATCTCTTCCCCGATGACCCTACACACCTCCCACAGTACCTTCAACACAAGCAGAAGCTCACTAATAAACCATAGCAACTGCTGTTACTTCCTTGAAGGCAGGAACCATATCTATATTTTTATTAACCTACTGAAAATAATGAAATATAGTACATTTTAACATTTCAGTAATTGTGGGAATCTCTAAAGCATAAATGCTAAAAATGCTCTATAAAATCAGCAGGGCATTTAAAATGGATACTTGCTTCAGCTTATTAATAGTACTAAAAATACTGGATGCTTATTTTGGGGTAATTTTGAAAAAATTACAGATTACAAAATGAAGATCAATTGATATACAAAATTCTCAAAGCACTTTCGAACAAAAAATAAGAATAATATATGGCTAAGTATCATAAAAGCAAAATAACATAATTTTAGGAGATACATTACTATAGATAAGGAGAAAACTTACTGCTTGGTTTCTCTTCACTGAAGCAATACAAATTAAGCATGTCATAGCCCCTGCTTGAAATGCTTCATTTACATACTGTTTTGTTCGTTCTAATTCACGTGTATCTCCATCTTGAAATTTAAAAATTGAAAAATCACATTTTAAGCAACATATGAAAATAACACAAACTCACTAGTAACTCCACATTATGTAAGAATTATCTAGCAATCTCAATTTCTCAAAATATAGAGCCGGAAAAGAAGAAGTTTAAAAAAAGAAGGTAACCTATGAGCTGCTGTAAAGAGCAGTTACTACAGAAAGGTTCAAGAAATAACAGGTAAACAGCAAAATGAAACATATAAAAACTACCCAAAAGCACATATGACATCAAAAGGGCAGTAGTCAGAGACAACTGAGTGTAAGAGAAATAAGCCTACCTGTCTTTAGTACGATAGCGATTGCTCGATAAAGACTCTGAGTCTCCAAGAAAAGCAGACTAATAACATAAACTACTGTAAGTGCTTCATGCATGCGAAAGCTGGGCAATGAATAAAGAAGACAGAAGAACTGACGTCTTTGAATTATGGTGTTGGCGAAGAACAATGAATATACCATGGACTGCCAGAAGAACAAAACAGATCTGTCTTGAAAGAAGTACAGCCAGAATGCTCATTAGAAGCAAGGATGGCAAGACTTCATCTCACATACTTTGGACATGTTATCAGGAGAAGAACATCATGCTTGGTAAAGCAGAGGGTCAGCAAAAAAGAAGACCCCCAATAAGATGGGCTGACACAGCGGCTGCAACAATGGGCTCAAGCATAGCAATAGTGAGGATGACGCAGGACTGGGCAGTGTTTCATTCTGCTGTACACAGGGTCGCTATGAGTTGTAAGCAACTCAACGGCACCTAACAACAACCACACCACCATAACTGCAGAACTTACCAAGGCAATACACTGGTTCAAGTTGCCAAAAAGAAAAAATAAATAGGGAACTTTGATAATTTTTTTACTTTCTAAAAATCACTTAGGTTAAATACAGCACTCACGAAAACTTGCTCTACTACTACATAAACATAAGTGTAATTTAGGATACTAAACAAAATATGTATAAAAGCCCTCCCAGAACTATCAAGTATTATAAAATTATTGAAGATAATTGCTTTTCTTTAAATCTAGGGTATTTACTAATTTTAAAGACGAAGAAACTAAGATCCGAGATGTTAAATAACATGCCAAGATCATAGAGCCAGTAAAAAGCAAAGCCAAGATTCAGACCTTGGCAATCTGGCTTCACAGTCAATGTTATTAATCACCTTACAATACTGTCTTTCTCCCATAAATAAGTACATAAAAAGAGTGTCGATCTACTCTACTTCATGATTTTTTTGCTTTTACACAGAAAATGCAATCAGCCTAGTAATGGCCCCAAAGCTATATAAACTAGGCTTAGACCTAGCTCTGCCATTTACTAATTGTATAACTGTAGGAAAGTCACTTCTCCTCTGTAGAGTTGTTTGCTAGAAAATTCCTAAGGTTTCTTCTAGTTCTAAAATGATAAATAAGAAAAAGAATGGATCAAGAGTATAAACACACATTATAGAGACAAAGATATTATCAACCATATGATATACATATAACTATTCCGATAAGCGTTGATAATACATGTAAGAATGTTTCTAATAATGACTTTAAGTACAACGTGGAAAGTTTAAGAGCATTTACATTAAAAAACAGTCTACCTTTACACTAAGAACTAAATTGTACTCAGTGAGAACACTTGGTTTTCACAGCAATCCAGATATACACAACAGATAATGTGATTGTACACTTCAACCTGAAAAAAACTTAGCTTAAAAAAAAAGTATGAAAATCAGAAGTTGTAAATAAGACATAAATTAAATAAATAAAATCAAGAAATGAAGCTGACTTCAAGACACATTTAACCTGATGAAAAAGAGAGACATGAAGAACAGCTCAAAAACAGTGTCCAAAATCCTCAAGTCCAACCAAATCCCAACCAGGAACTACTTGAGCTGACTCATCTCTCAGGGAGTTCTGACATCCCCCTCACAGCATTCTAATGAAATGTCCGATAAAAATACGTGGACAAACTTCTAGGGCTATAAAAAAGCCAAGTTGCTCTCCGATTTACTTTACAGAAATATTACTGTTACACAACATATAACGCAAATAAAAAACGTACAATAACACCATAACCCAAAATGCTCGCTCTTAAGATGCAAAAAGTATACCACATAGAATAAAGGTATTGCCAAAAATGTCAGGAATACATTTTCATTGATGTCAAAAATAATGAAATTTAAAAAACAAGTACCTGTCTGAGTAGTGTATGTTATAAATGTATTGGCAATTATTTTCCCCTGTTTTCCTTCGTCATCTCCTTCGTCTTCTGATGAAGAGTTAAAGTGTTCTTCAACAAGTTTTCTGGCTGCAGCTTGATTAGCCTTCTTGATTTCCTCAAATTTCCTCTGTGACATTAACTCTGTTTAAAAGAAAAAAAAGGTTTTCATTTCTGCAAAACAATGTTCCAAAAAGCAAGGCACGATGTACTAATATGTCATTTCTAAACATGCATCTAAAAGTCACTTTTGGAGTGTTTTATTTTACTAAAATTCATAAGAAAAAGTATTTTCTATACTTGTTGACATATGACTAAACAGAGTACCGCAACAAAAATTTTCACTTTTGCAAGTATCCTGTTAAATGCAGCAAACTGTTATGGAAACAGTGAATATTAAAAAAATTACAAAGGTATGATAAAAGTATAAAAAAACTGATTGGTGATCAACCTGAAAATAAGGACATTTATAAAAATCAAAACAGGATAGTTTAAAATACATTGTACACAATGATTTTTAAAACGTGGAGAAACATGCCCACTGAGAGCACAGCATAATCACTGGAGGAGGGGGGCTTTTTCAAACTACCCTCTTCCACACAATAGCTTAGCCCAGAGTTAAAATAAAAAGTATTTACTCTGTACCCATTATGTTTATAATCTGCTTCTTAAAAAGCTCAAGGACTTTTTGCCTTTATTGAAATATGGTCACAAAAAATATACACATTTAACATTAACGCAGTTAACACGACAAACATGCTTCTTACAACAGCTTCATTCCAAAAAGAAATGTTATATATGTTTTGGATTAGTTCTTCCACTGTTCTCTTTAGCATTGTCTCTACTCATTTTCTAACTCGGTTAAATAATAATGCAAGAGAGAATTAGACTGTTTCACAGCACATAGTCCCAATAAAACTTTGAATTCCTTGAGAGCAAAGACCACGGGAATCTTCTTCCAGAATTGAGTGTTAATACACTCTTATGGACAGCAAACATAGCTCAAGAAAGGAGCCACCAGCCTGGTGAACTGATCTGAATTCATTACTGCCCATAATTGAAAGGATTTTAAATTTGCTAATTTAAAATTTAAATTACTAATTTAAAATTCACTTTATTTTGAAACTGAAGAGCCACTACCAAGATAAACTTTCTTATCGTGGGTGGTATATTTGTACTTAACGATGTTTTATCTTTTATTTCTCTCAGAAAATGTTTCCTTTTCTTGTTGCAGCCAGTTTTGTTAGGGGTTATTCAGTATTGCAAATAAAACTGGTACAAAATGTATACAGTGCCTACACCTAAGAATCTTTGAGTACTGGGAAAAAAAAGAATGGCTCAAAAACTGATGTTCAAAAGGAGACATGATTAATGCCATTAACCGATGGAAATTAGCACTTAAGGGTATATAAAAAAAACAAAAAAAGGCTGAACTGGACACATACAATGAAAAAATTAATAACTTAATAAATTTATCTACCTAATATCAGCTCAAGGAGCCCTAGTGGCACAGTGGTTAAGCAGTCAGCTACTAACCAAAAGGTCGGTAGTTTGAACCCAGGCACTCTGCACGTGGGAGAAAGATGTGGTAATCTGTTTCTGTAAAGATTTACAGCATTAGAGACTCTATGGGGCAGTTCTACTCTGTCGTACAGGGTCACTTTGAGTCAGAATAACCAGATAATCATCAGCTCAAGGAAAGTTACAGACAAGTTGACACAGCAACCTGCCCACTTATGATGTACTCCAATTAAAACGACTAGTTACGATGAACTGCACTTAGGACTGTCTATTTTTTGGGGTTTTTTTTTTGGTACATCTTATCACCAGTAAATACGTACTACATACAACGTTGTAGCTTGTAATTTGCTGATGTTATCATTCTTAGATGTTCGCAGATGTTCAGTTTGATGGTTTACTGTTCAAAACACTGCAGTGGAGCAGGCTATGCCCTGGTCTACAATGAAGTCGGTGTTGGAAGTCGTAACAGAAAGTTGGGCAATGTCCAACTCTAACAATATACGACAATTGAACTGCACATGCAACCAACAACCATTAACACTCCTACTTCACTGTTACAACACTGACAGCGACTTCATTGGAGACGAGGCTGACAGTGTGATATTTAGTGTTTCATACCATAAGAAGCATCAGTTGTTAATCTGAAATAAGGTATTCGATTTATGTCAGAACTGACTTAAGACAGAGTCGTCAGAACAGAACCCCAACATAACATGGGCACTACCTGTATATGCATTTACAGTCAAATCTCAATTATCCAGGAAAGAATTTTGCTTTCCTTCTAGCCACAACATTCAAGAAAGTTTACCAAAACTGTTCATAGGTCTCCAAATTATACCCCTCACTACCATCACCAACTCGGGAATTGCAAGCTAAGAAAATACCATGTAACTTAATAGCTTAGAAGGGGGGTAAAAAAAGTCCAAAACTCAATTGTGCCCCCTTCCAGAAATATATATTCTGGAAAAAACATTCCAAACACAAAATAAAATTAATTCAGAGATCATACCCCTGGCCCCGTGCAGCCTCCCTTATTATGGACAATTGAGAGTAGTTGTGTAAGTGCTCGCAGGCTCGACTAAAACACAGGTGAGAGGTGTTGCCATATCCTAGGATGCAACACCAGATACAGGCTTGAAAGGACATGAAATTTATGAATAGGAACCACAGTTGGGAGAGCTGACACAGCTCAAAGCTTACAAGGCATAGACAAGAGTAGGGACTCAAGGCAGACTGACGGGGACTACTGTGAAATGGAGTGCCAAAGCCCAATCTAAATGGGATATCAAGACTCAGCTCAGCTGTTTGTAGCCGCAGACAAAGCTACGCAAGCCCTAAGATCATACTTTTCAAAAAAACTTTACATCTTATAAGACATTTTTTTTTTTTTTTTTTTTTAACGGTGGCAACCAATTCAGATTTAAAGCATTGTGTTAACCAACCAAAACAAATCTCTGGCCACAATTTGCAACTTCCGGTTCTAGGAATTTAGGTAGGCAAAAAAAAAAAAAAGTGAAGGAAAGAGTACAGGGCAGACAAATAACAAAGAAATATCAATTGAAACTAAGATGAAGAGAGTGTGATGGGAATCTGCCTAGAATGCCGAAGAGTAGCTGCCTGAAAGGTCTGAGAAGAGGAGCCAGAAATAAACTACCAAATGAGGAGAAAATGAGTGAATGAACGAGGGCGAGGACAGAGATAGTCCCGACTAGCGTCTTAGAAGGCATCCAGGTGAGACCGAGGGTAGGAGCCATTCTCACCCCTGACTACGGAAGCCTGCGGTGCTTCAGATCCCCCGGGGCCGTTCCCTGCTGAGCCACCTGCAGCCGCAGCGGCCACGGTTCCTCCGTGGCTGGGGCCAGGACGAGCGGCGCCCACTGACCCCTTCTCTCGACCTCCTCCGGCGCCACGGAGACGGACTCCATTTCCTGAGGAGGGGGCCGCAGTGGCCCGCCCTCGGGCTCGGCCTCGGCCACCGACCACCTGGCGCCAGGAAGCTTCCATACCTGCAAAGGAGTTTAAAAAAAAAAAAAGAGTGGAAGGAGAGTGAGCGTAGCTGATGCCGAAGCGGAGGAAATGGGCAGAGGCGGAACCTTGTGTGAGGAGACGGAGAGGAGGGTCCCTGCAGGGCTGGGACAGGGTTGAGAGGTCGCGGCCCTGCCTGTCCTGGAGGGCGAGTCCCCCGCTAAGCCCAGGCTTTGGAGATGGACCACAGAGGGAGAAGACTAGGAAGGAAAATGGACCACGGGGGTAAAGAGCACCCAGCGCCAGAGAGGAAGAACCCGGGAAAAGGAAAGCACCGCATCAGCCTTAGAAGCCCGGTGACGGGTAGAGCAGCAAACTGACCCGGAGACTCCAGCCCAGACCAACTGCAGTAGCAGACCCCCAAGGGAAGCTACGTCTCCTTACCGACGGGGCCCGCCCCTAGCGACTACAACTCCCAGAAGCCCCCGCTCTCGGCCAGCAGAACGCGTGGCAGCACCGGCCGCTTCCTTATCCGAGAGGGCGCGTGCTTGGGAAGGTGGGGCCCCGAGCGCGTGCGCTGACCGTGCCGGGCCACCGGGAACTACAACTCCCGGCGTGCTCTGAGGTTGGGCGGGGTCGGCGTCCAGAGGGGGCGTATGGTTGGGGAGATGGGCGGGCCTCGAGGTGCTATTGACCGTTGAAGATGTTGCTGCCTCCCTGAGACTGCCCTAAACCCAGGTTGGTATCGAGACTGCTGGAGGGGCTGTAGTTGGCTGTCCGCCATCTTTAACCTTGCCTTCCGGCCTGCAAGTGGGAAAAGGATTCTCATTGACAAGAAAAGCACTTACAGTGAAAACACACTTGGGGTCAGCTTCCATAAAGAGGGCGGGATAGCTAGGGGAGTATTGCGGGGAAGTGTCTCTAGTGGGGAAAGTGCCCTTCTGAATTACTAAAGGACACATCTAATGGCTAGTACTGTTACAGTCCTTTATAGTTCACAATGTGTTTTTACCGTCGCTAGGCCATTTTTACCTTCGCAACAGCTCCCTGAAATAGATTTTATTAAGGAAAGTAGCTGAGCCAGGACCTAGATTTTCTGGCTTCCTTGAATCTTTCGATAAGAATATTTATTGTTGTTGTGTGCCCTCAAGTCGATTCCGACTCATAGTGACCCCGTATGACAGAGTACAACTGCCTCCATAGAGTTTCCTAAACTGAAATCTTTATGGAAGAAGCCCTGGTGGCGTGGTGGTTAAACGCACTGGCTGTTAACCGAAAGATTGGCGGTTCAACTCACCAGCTTCTCTGCGGGAGAAAGATGTGGCAGTCTGCTTTCACAAAGATTTACAGCCTTGGAAATCCTATGGGGCAGTTCTACTTTGTCCTGTAAAATCACTATGGTTTGGAATCCACTCGATGGCAATAAGCTTTGGGTTTGATTTTAATCTTTACGGAAGCCAACTACCACGTCTTTCCCCCAGAGGAGCGGCTGGTGTCTTCCAACCGCTGACCCTTTGGTTAGCGAACACCTGACCACTGTGCCACAGGGGTTCCTAAGAATATATATTAAAAAAAAAAACAACCCTTTGCGGTGGAGTTGATTCCAACTCATAGCGACCCTATAGGACAGAGTAGAATTGCTTCATAGGGTTTCCAAGGAGCAGCTGGTGGATTGGAACTGCCAACCTTTTGGTTAGCAACAAGCTCTTAACCACTGCACCACCAGGGCTCCAAATATATATATAAAACCAAACCCAGTCTGTGGCTGTGGAGTTGATTCTGACTCAAAAAAAAAAAAAAAACATTTTTGAGGTGTGTCTGGGATTGAAAAATATATTGATTCCTATTTGGGATTATACAACTTTATTTAATTCTTCAATGCCTGGGTGGCACAAATGCTTAAGCGGCTACTAACTGAAAGGTTGACAGTTCAAATCCACCCAGAGGCACCTCAGAAGAAAGACCTGGTGATCTACTTCTGAAAGATCACAGCCATTGAAAACCCTATGGAGCACAGTTCTACTGTGAAAGACATGGAGTTGCCATGAGTCAGAATCAACTCCATGGCAACTAGTTTGAGTTTTCGGTTTTTGGTTTTTTGTTGTTGTTCGTTTTTGTATACAACCCTTCAAACTTCATTCCCCTACATTAATAATAAATATCTAATATTTGTTGTTGTTAATTGCTGTTGAGTTGGCTCTAACTCATAATGACCTTATGAAACATTGCCCAGTCCTGCACCATCTTTGTGACCATTGCTATGTTTGAGTCCATTGTTTTGAGCACTGTCAAATCATCTCAAGGGTTTCTCTCGTTTTACTTGGTCGTCTCCTTTAGCAACCGTGATATCCTTTTCTATCGATTAGTCATTCCTGAATACATGTCGAAAGTAAGTGGGCCAAAGTCTCGCCATCCTCAATTCTAAGGAGCATTCTGATTGTATTTCTTCTAAGACTGATTTGTTCATTGTTCTAGCAGTCCTCAGTGTATTCAGTATTCTTCACCAATACAGCATCACCTTTCTTCCAAGGCACATCTGAGTGGACTGGAACTTCCAGCCTTTTGGTTAGCAGCTGAGGGTGTTGACAGTTTGCACCACCCAGGGATTCCATACTCACAATAATCCTATTATTATCCCCCATTTTATAGCTGAGGACACGGAGGCACGGAGGTTAAGTAATGCCCCTGGTCATACAGCTAGGAAGTGGTAAAGCCAAGATTCAAACCCAAGTAGTCTGACATTAGAGATTATGCTTTTAACCTCTTACACATAGATATTGCAGAATTGCCCATTCTGAAAACCCAAACCTGTTACCATCAAGTTGATTCCAACACGCAGTGATCCTATAGGAGAGAGTAGAACTGCCCCATAGCGTTTCCAAGGCTGTAAATCTTTACAGAAGCAGACTGCCACATGTTTCTCCCACAGAGCAGATGGTGGGTTCGAACTGCCAACCTTCTGGTTACCACCTGAGCACTTAACCATTGTGCCGCCAGGGCTCCTTAGATAATAATAGAATTATTATCCAAACTCAAAAATAATGTCCCTGAGAATGATATGATAACTTGTTTGGCTAGAAACTAACAGGTACATAGCAACTCTCTTATGGCTGCACTTGTATAACGACTGTTAGTTTAAAGCTGTGACCATTATCTGTTAGACTTTCTACAGTGGAGTTTTTAGATTCAGGAAAGGAGCTGTTACAGTCTGGGAGAGAGTACACTAATAATCACTGAGCAATGTTCAGGATGCTGACTGGTGATTAACGTGGGAGATCCTGCTTAGAATCATGCTATATGCCAGAGACCTGGGTGAGCATATTGCCCAACTCTCCATGTCAGTCCTCCTTACACATAAATTTCTTCCATTCTCCCAAATGTTTACTGGTAATCATAGTGGCTGACATTCTTTTAGTGCTTTCTATGTACCAGGCATAAGCCCTTCTAAGCCCTTTTTTTCTTTTACACATTTAATCATCACAACAACCCTATGAAGCAGGTATTGCTACCTTTGATCTCATTTTAAACATTAGGAAACAAAGGCACAGAAAATTTGCTTGTTCAAAAGTCATACACCTAATAAATGGCAGAGCTGGGACTGCAAAAGCAATGTAGAACCATTATGCTATATGATTATTGTGTAAATGTATTTAATGTTTATCTAGAAATTTCAGTTGTTTTTAAATCACTTAAACAGGCAAAAAGCTCACACAATCAGAATTTTTCCCCTGCCGTATTACACAATGATTTTTCTAGTGGTGCACTATATACCACGTGTATATATACACACACATACATATATATACACATTTACTTATTTATTTATGTGGAGTCCTGATGGCACAGTGGTTAAGCACTCAGCTGCTGAGAGGTCAGTGGTTTGAACCCACCAGTCACTCTGTGGGGGAAAGATGTGGCAGTAGCTCCCATAAAAAATGACAGTCTTACTATATAAAGATTAAGAGGACGATCCATCATGAAGACATAACCATAATAAACATCTACGCAGCCAATGCCAGGGCTCCAAAATACATAAAACAAACTCTAACAACACTGAAAAGAGAAATTGACAGTTCCACAATAATAGTAGGAGACTTCAACACA